ACGGATTTTGATGATCTGGGTTGTGAACTTTTCTCCTTTGTTATTTAAAACATTTAATTTTAATGAATAAATGAGATATTTGGGGTAGAGTCAATCAGAGTAACAAATTCTTGAGTGGGAAGAGACTTTAGAAGCCATCTAGTCTGACCTAAATAATTCAGGAATTCCTTCTACAGAATCCCTGCCAGATGGTCATACACTTGTGTTTTGAATACTTTTTGGCGTCAGAAAATTTGTTATTTCAAGAGGCAGCATAGTTTCTTGTTAGGCAGTTCTAAAAATTAAAAAAATATTTTCATACATGGAGATAAAAATCCCTATCCTTCTAATTTCCGTTAGTAGAATTCTGATCCACTGATCTTCAAATATTTACTAAATATCCTACCGTTGTTTTTAGCATCAGGCGATCAAATGGCTGTCGAGTATTTGTTAAACACCCAAGTGGAAATTCACGGCTGCGCTTGGCACTGCAGAGGACCCTGAAAGTTCTGATATGGTCCCTGCCTGTGGGGAGCATATAGACTAATTGAGAGACAAGATTTCACACACACTAAATTGACAGGATATGACCAGAGCACTGAAGGTTTTTCCAGACTGCCGTAGTTGTAGAAGGCTTGATGGAGGGAGTCAGGAAATAGGACATGAGCCTAAAAATAATAGTATGATTTTGCCAGGCAGCAAAGATGTAAAAATAGCAAGTTTAGGCAAATAATGATGAGACCCTCCTAATAGAATCAGCTGCTAACCGAAAGGTCAGCGGTTGGAACCGACCATCGGCTCCGTGGGGGAAAAGACCCGGTGATCTGCTCCCATAAAGATTACAGCCTAGGGAACTTTATGGGACAGTTCTACTCTGTCCTACAGGGGCGCTATGAGTCGGAATCGACTCAATGGCACACAACAACAGCGAGGAAATTAGAGGGCTGTGGTGGTTCAGTGGTAGAATTCTCGCCTTCCATGCTGGAGACCTGGGTTCCATTCTCAGCCAACACACCTCATGCACAGCCACCACTCATCTGTCAGTGGAGACCTGCATGTTGCTATGATGCTGAACAGGTTTCAGCAGAGCTTCCAGACTAAAGCAGACTAGGAAGAAAGGCCGGGCCAATCTACGTCCAAAAATCAGCCAGTGAAAACTCTATAGATCACGGTGTATGATCTGCAACTGATCATGGGGATGGCGTTTTGTTCTGTTGTGCATGGAGTTGGCATGAGTTGGAGCCTACTCCATGGTGGCTAACAACAACAGGAAGTTAAGATCAATCGGAAGGACGGGGTCAGAATACGGAGGAACGTGAAAGCTCTGCGGAAGTCTTCATTTTAATTAATCAATGAATTCTATTGTTTTTTTCAGATCATAAAAGTAATTCAAAAAACAGAAATATCTTAATTAAAAAGTAAGAGAAAAAATATCCTTATCTTTTTATTCCCTTCCCTACTCCCTAAATCTAACCACGATTTTAACCACTTGATAAATATTCTAGGATTGTGAAACTATGGCCCATGAGCCAAAACTGGTCCACCACCTGTTTTTTTCTAGCCTACATGTTAAGAATGATTTTTACATATTTACATGGTTGACAAAAAAAGAATATTTTATGACACACAAAAATTGTTAAAATTCACATTTCAGTGCCCATAAATAAAGTTTTGAATTTTGTTAATAAAAATTTTGTTTTCTCTCTTTTTTTGGTAAATACCACATAATAGCCTTGATTTTACCTTTTGGCTTGCAAAGCCAACAATATTTACTACCTGACCCTTATAGAAAAAGGTTGCTGACCTCTAGTATATTCACTTATTTTTTTTCTATGAATGTACACACACACATACAGGTGTATGGTGTTGTGCTTGGCTTATAAAGTGGGATGGTATGAACCATATTGTGGCAAAGTTCTTTAGATCTGAGAAGACTAAATAAGTTAGAGTCACTGTCAGTTTTGATGGTAAACAGTGTCTTGGAGTTGGATGGCCCATAAGGGAAAGCCAGGGATCAAGGAGTGTAGCCACTGCAAGAATATAGATGTAAAGTGATGTACTCCCAAATGGGACTACTTGAATTGAGACAGAAGTTGGAGAGCCACAAGTGAGACATTCCAAAGGAATAGTCCAAGCGGCATGCTGAGCCCGGAAGGAGACAAAGCAAGGAGCAAGTAAAAGTTGCCTCCCAATTTCCAAGTTGGTATTGGGAGAATGTTGGTGCTGTGGAAGACATTAAGAATATTGGAAGGGACTATTTGTTTTTGGAAAGGCAAGGTTTTCTTTTTGGTTTTTGTTTTTTTAATTGTACTTTAGATGAAACTTTACAGAGAAAATTAGTTTCTCATCCAACAATTTATACACAGATTGTTTTATGACATTGGTTGCAATTCCCACGATGTGTCAATACTCTTCCCTTCTCCACTCAGGTTCCCTGATTCCATTCGTCCATTTTTTCTTCCCCTGCCTTCTCATCTTTGCTTTGGGCTGATGTGCCCATTAGTCTCGTATACATGATTGAACTAAGAAGCACATTCCTCACATTTGTTATTGTTTGTTTTATAGACCTGTCTAATCTTTGGCTGAAGGGTAAACTTTGGGAGTGGCTTTAGTTCCAAGTTAAAAGGGTGTCTGGGGACCATAGTCTTGGGGGTTCTTCTGTCAGACCAGTAAGTCTGGTCTTTTTTTTTTTTGTGAATTTGAATTTTCTACATTTTTCTCCCACTCTGACTGTGACCCTCTATTGTGATCCCTGGCAGAGCAGTTGGTGTTGGTAGCTGAGCACCATCTGGTTCTTCTGGGCTCAGGCTGGTGGAGGCTGTGGTACTTGTGGTCCATTAGTCCTCTGGACTAGTATTTCCCTTGCATCTTTGGTTTTCTTCATTCTCCTTTGCTGTGAACGGGATGGGACCAGTAGGTGTGTCTTAGATGGCCACTTACAAGCCTTTAAGACCCCAGATGCTACTCACCAAAGGTGGATGTAGAACATTTTCTTTTATGCACTTTGTTATGCCAGTTGACCTAGATGACCCCTGCGACCATGATTCCCAGCCCTTAGCCTCAGAAACTCAGTCCCTTGGGGTGTTTGAATGGATGAAGCTTCTGTGACTTTTCCTTGGTCAAGTTGGCTTTTCCCCTTTATTGTGGAAAGCCAAGTTTTGAAGTTAATAAATTTGAAGCAGTCTATCCAGCACTAAAGGAGCCCTGGTGGTGCAGTGGTTAAGCGCTTGACTGCTAACTGAATGGTTAGCGGTTTGAACCCACCAGTGGCTCCATGGGAGAAAGATGTGGTAGTCTGTTTCCATAAAGAGTACAGCCTTGGAAACCCTATGGGGCAGTCCTGCTCTGTCCTATAGGGTCATTATGAGCCAGAATAGACTTGACAGCAATGGGTTAGTTATGGTTATCCAGTATTAACTAACAGCACCAGTTGATGGTGCCTGCGGTTTATATTACCCATCCGAAGAATATGTAATCCCTCACAGTTCATTTGCATCTTTCATGATTGATCTAATAAATAAAAACTTCACATTTTGAACAAGGAGAATTGTATGTGCCTGTTTTGAGCTATATACATTATAATAACTGATGTCCATTAGATTAATGGTGGATATTTGGGCTTTATGTTCAAATACAATGTCTCAAAAAGAAATGAATCCTTAGGATAAGTTTATCACCATTTACCTTCACTGTTAGGGGAAAATTGTTTTAGGTTTAAGAATATTTTGGAGGAAAAGAGCCTCTCAATAAATAGATACATACGAGGTTTTTGAGGGACATTTGAGGATGCCATTTATACCATCGTCACCCCACTGAACAGATTTCTACATGTGGTCTTTGTGATCCCTGTCATAGTCACAGAGCTGTCCTTTGCAGGCACAACACAGGTTTGTGTTCAGGCGTGTTCTGCCAATGTGAAATTCTGTGGCAGAGAAGGAAAGTTTCACTGTTCTGCTACTAATTACACTACATAGCTGGATACCCCATCGTAGCTCCACCTTGTGGATTCCTGTCTTAGTGGTAAGCCAGTGCGGCTACTTTTCTGAGTATCCTTTCACTTAATACTCATTTTGGTGCTAACATGTTACAGAGATGGGTGGGTGTGGGTGGGAAAATGTAGCCTTTTGTTTAGCTTATGTTTGAATCATTTCTAGGTTTTTCATAGGTTGTACTCAAGCCTCCTACACCTTGATTTTTTTTCCCTTAAACGGTTTCATGAAAGGAACTGGATAAATGCGATCACAAAATAAGAAACTGCAAGAAGAACGTAAACCGGGGCATCCCAACTCTGAGACAGTAGCACAAATTAACACACAGGGATGAGGCATCAATATGAGGTATGAGATAGACCTCACTATGACTCAGAGGGAATTGCATGGTACTGGTGGCCTAGTGGCTAAGCTGTGGGCTTTAAATCAGGAATCCTAGTTCTAATTACAGCACCTATATCGGCTTGCTCTGCGACCTTAAATTAACTGGCAAATGGGAAATCACAATTTATCATACAGTTATTCCAAGTGGAATCTTTGGGAATAAAAAACAAAATATTTGCAAAGCACTTTGAGCATCCTGAACGAAGGATGATACTTGAATTTTAAGCATTACTAGTATTCTCTTCAAAATGTGTGCCTATCTTGATGAAGGCTCATTAGAAACTCTTTGCCAAAAATGAAACAAGTTGTACTTCCTGACCTACTAGTTTTATACTCATCCCAATTTACTGCACTTGGCATCTTTAATATGCTTTTAATCTCAGCGCCTATTTTTGAGGAAGTCATGGATGGATTCTATAAGTGACATTGTCCCTTGCCCCTACTGGAGAAAAGAGTCATAGACTTTCAACATTTACCCAAAAGCAAAGATGAGAAGGCAAAGAGGGGCAGGGAAGCTAGGTAAATGGAAAAAAAAAAAGCAAAGATGAGAAGGCAAAGAGGGGCAGGGAAGCTAGGTAAATGGAAAAAAAAACAAACAAAATGGTAATAATGAGAATGCTGACACATTGTGAAAATTGTAACCAATGTCATGGAACAATTTTGTAAAAATGGTTAAATGAGAACCTAATTTGCTATGTAACTTTCGCCTGAAACAATAAAATATTTTTTTAAAAGTTATAGACTTATGGATGTTCTTGTCATTTGTTATCAACATGTAGGCATTTTGCTATACTTTCAGTAACTTTGACTTTCATAATTAAATGAAATTTTTTCTCAGTGTGAAGGAATTTCTGGCATCTGGCTAAACACTTGGAATAAAAAGAATACGGATTAATTAACAGACTATTATTTAAACTGTGGAAGTGGAGTTTCTAAATTCCTCCATTGCACTAGTGCTCGATTGTCGTATTTTTCTCTGTAGAGCAGAATTCAGTGGATACCAGATAAAACTTTCACTTTTCCCGGGATAATCTAATCAAGTATCAAAGAGGATTGTTAATAAAGTGATTTCACCTTATGACTGATTCTGAAGGAGGTGTGGTGCCTTATCAAACTATGTTTTCCCTCCCTTCCTGGGAGCTATAAACAGTTTGCACTGAAAGGTTGGTGGTTTGAACCCACCTAGTGGTGACACAAAAGAAAGGCCTGGCAACAACTACAGCCAAGAAGACCCTATGGAGTTCTATTCTCACACACATGGGGTCGCCTTGAGTTGGAATCCACTTGATGGCAGCGGGCTTGGGTTTTTTTGCGTGTGTAGATTCACTGATAGAGCAGATCACTTTACAGATGTGAGTATAGTGGGTCCCCAGGGGTGAGGACCCCTGGAATTTTATAAGTCCTGAGTTACAGCTTCTAAGGCCAACCTAAGACTGAAGGGGCAGAAAGTTTCTTCATTCAGGTGTCAGGCCAGAGTAGTGAGAAATATTTTCAGAGGAGGCCAGTCAGTGAAGCAAATGGCTGTTTTTGAGAACCTGGTAGGTGATAAGAGATTGTACAGCTGTGCCCGAGCAGTAGGTGTCACTGTAGTCAGTGGCTTTTACTAAGAGCCTAAGGGGTTAATTGGGTCTGGTTCAGAAGGGCAGGTAGAGGTCCATCTTAGCCCTCCAGGGTCTGTGTCTTTGTCTCTAGGACACCAGTTGACTCGAATGAAATGCCCAAGTCAGTACCTAAAGACACTATCTTTCTCTAAGAAGGGAAGGAAGATACTTTGCCATCTATTGTAGAGTGTTAGGCTATGCTGTGGGAGAGGGGTGGATTGGGGTGGGTAAATCGGTAAAATAATCCTTCTAAAGTTTGGTGGGGGACCTAGGACAGAGGGGAAGGAAAAATTCTATTAAGAGAAATGAAAGAATATGGAATAGCAGAATACATTTCCTTGTTGTATTTTAGCCCTGAGCCCTGTTATATTCAGGCAGTGTGAGCTTTCAGAGCGTCTATCAGCATCCTTCTTAGAATTTCCCTTTTTACAACAAAGGAAGCAAAGAAGAAATCTTTCTAGCAGAGATGTACTTCTCTTTTGCTGCTTACCATTCCAGAAAGTTAATTTTCAAACGTTAAAATAGAATTTGGGATTTAGAAATAGCTACTGTGTTGACTAATTAAAAGAAAAAAATCCTGTGATTACGTAGCAAATTGCTTTTTCAAGTACATCCAATTTTACTTTTTCTTTTCTAGCAACACCCTGGTGTGAAAACAAAATAAAGCCTAGTAAACTCGCTGTAGAGTTTTATATTCATCTTATCTCTCTCTCTCTCTCTCTTTTTTTCTTTTGGCCAGGATAACCATCTCTCTCTCCACCCACCACCCATGTAACACAGTATGACTCGTCTTTAAAAAAAAAAAACAAAACATGAAGACAGTATATACATCTGACCTATCCACAGATACTCATTAAAAAGAAGTCTCGTCCAGTCTTTGCGCTTACCCCCTCTACCCTGCCTGTTGGTTGCTGTTAACACCCTGATTAAGCCTTGTTCTTATTGGTACAATATGTTAAGCTCAGACTGCTCTTTCTCTCTCTCTCTCTCGCCTTCTGTCTCCGAGTGGCTGGGCTGAAACCATCCGCACGCTCGCTGAGCCAGGTGGCGTTGCTTCCTGCCTCTCCTGCTCGCTGTTGCTAAGTGAGAGGCGCCGTATCGCACAGAAGGCTGAACCAATAGCATCCTGACTCCCATAGGCTGGTAAAAGCTGAAGAAAGAGAATCTCAGTGTTGTCTGCGGCCGGCCGGTGGGTCCTCCTCCCTCTCCCTCCCCCCTCCCACCTTTTCTTTTCCAACAGGAAGGGGAGGAGGTGAGGGAGACGGTAGGAGGAAGAGGGAAGAAAGAGAATGGGGGAGGTGAATCCTAATATGCCTTGCTGTTCTTGAGATAAATGCCATTTTTTTCTTTGTGATGAAAAGAAATGGTCGCCTCTCTTGTGCAATCACAGACCAGCAGATGCGCTTCTTTCTGCCCCCAATCCGCCTGTGTTGTCAAAGCTCAGACTGAATAAATACGACGTCTGTTGGCCCGCGTATCTGCTCTGCGTTTCTCTGTCTTGATGTGGCTATGAATCTTTTAATCCCCACAGTTCTGCAGATTTTGGCACTCCTGTACCCCTGTTCATTCTTCCTCTTCACCTCCCCTGTTTTGTTTGTTTGTTTGTTTGTTTTTACTGCCTCACAGTATTCTCTTCCTATTCCAGATTGGATTTCCTTTGAATGCAAAAATTAGCAAACTGTATTTTATATATCATCCTGTGAGGGAGTCATAAGGGTATCCTAGTGAAGGGGGCAAGAGAGGAAGAATACTTATAAAGGTAAAAAATTTAAAATCTCCCATTAAGAATTTCACAGAATTCTTCATTTTTTTCTTAAGATCCGTGCAGCACATAGTGAAATGAAAGGCTGTTCTTAACTGGATAACTGCCAGTATAGACAAGCAGTTGGCATAGATGAGATTATACAGAGGAAATGAACTTTCTCCTATAATCACCTGGATATTTTGGGCAACATCAGACCCAAGTTACCTGGATAATTATGGCTTTGTAGATCTGACCTTAGAACAAAACAGATTCCAGTAGTTCCATGAAAAATGTTTGCTATCTTTGGTGATAAAAGTAGCGAAGGCATCGCTGTTTTTGTAACCATGTGAAGCCCAGTTATAAGGAGATGTTTTTCAGTTCTATGCCCAGTAAATTCCCAATCAGTTTCTCCTGGCCTTGGAGATGGCTTTATTATTTGGTCACTGGGTGTCTTTTGGAAAAAAAAAAATTCTGTGTTTATTTCTGAGTCAAGGATGTTGAGGTTTCCTGTAATCTATGCCTGGATTTCTTTTTTTTTTTTTTTAAGTTTATGTTTTGGTGGGATATCAAAAGTGTGATTTTCATGGTTAAACTGTCCATTTCCCTCAAGAAATTTTCCTTTTGTATTTGAAACACTTATCTCGCTATCAGGCCAGAAATCCAGTCTACTTAGTACCACACAGAAAAGTGATCATAATTCTCTCACTCCACTTGGTTTTTCCAGCCTTTTTACTAACTTTTGTCTTTTTTTGAACCAGAATTAAAAGGTTTTCATAAAGGGAAGTATGTGGAATCACATTAACCAAAAGGAGATTACCAGTGAAAACCCTTACCAAATTCTGGGTAACTAGAATGTTTTTCTTTTGTTTTATGAGCTGTCTTTTTCTTATCACCATAAAGAAAAAGACAGTCAATGCTGCCAGCTCTAACTTAATAACATTTAAAACTAAAATTCATAGATAATCTCCAAACTTCATTGTACTTACTTTCAGTCTCTTCCAGATTGAACTAGAACTAGTTATAGGTGGCTGAATACTCAGATCTGAGCAATACTTTCATCCTCTCTGTGCCCGTTTTCTAGGGGAGGTGTTAATGACGAAGTAAAGCTCCAAAAATGGACAAAGAAATTAAAAAAAAAAGAATGGTCAGTAAGTCCTGTTAAATTAACTTGTCCGTCTCTCAGACAGTCAGTCCATCAGTCGGTATTGTTAACTGTTAGTCACTGTTTGTCTATTGCGTGTCCAGCCCTGTGTTGAGAGTTTTGAACTGGAAACGCTGTGTAAACCGGGCCTCAGCTTTGTACCTCTGTCTCTGGGTCGTAGCCCTCTTAGTTTTACCAACTTCATTATTCAGGTACAGACTCTGTCCTTCAGCCAAGTAAACCTTCCAGGACCAGCTCTTCCTGCTTCTCTCCTTCTACCCGGTTTATAATTCTCTTTCTTCACATCCCTGCTTCACACCCACCTCCGCTGTTGTCTGTTTCCTAACTCAGCTGTCCAACCACAGATCCCTCAAAGTCCCTCACGTGTCCCCCCAAATTTGCACTTGTCTGACCTTCTTTCTAGGCACTAGTTATGACTTCTCTGCCAGATTGCCGCGTATACCTGATATGTCTTAGGCCTTCTCCCCTCTGTGCCTTTGCTGAAACTATGCCCTCCTTCCAGACTGCTTCTCTTCCCCCAGTCTCTCCCTGTGGAAATCTTAGCCTCAAAAGCCCATTTCAAATATGGTTTCCTCAAGTGAAGTTTTCCCTCAGTCTCTCCCACTCCCACTTCATCTTCCAGTCCTCTGAAGCACCATAGTCTCTTTTTCCCTACCTCTCTTTCAGAACTTTCCATCTTCTGCTTTGACTTGTATTTGCTCTATCTTGGTAGTGCCTGCCAACAGGTGGCTCAGAGGAAGTCTTTAGCCACTGTCCTATATCCTGCACTAGCTTCCCAGCAAAGCCACCCCAAATAACATACAATTAAATACAAGTCACATTTGCTATGCAAACACAACTTCAAGACAGTTTATTAGGTTGCACCTGTTGCCCTGAGCAACCTAACAAACCACAAACAGTTGCCGTTGAGTGGACTCCAGCTCATGGCAACCCCATGTGTGTCAGAGTAGACCTGTGCTTCAGAGGGTTTTCAGTGGCTGATTTTTGGGAAGCAGATTGCCAGGCCTTTCTTCTGAGGCACCTCTGGGTGGACTCAAACCTGCAACCTTTTGGTTAGCAGATGAACATGTTAACCATTTGTACCACCAAATTCTTCCTTTAGAGCAATTCTGAAACCACCGCTTCATATCTTTTCTATTTAATTTTAAGCTACTCAGGGCCAGGGATGTGTCTTCTTCACCTTCCAGTTTCCCAAAGTACCTAACACAACTGTCTTACGCCCAGGAGGCACTGAAGTAATACCCATTGAATTATCACACAGTGACTCCTTGGAACTCTAAAGATTATGTCTGCAATTCACCAGGTTTCCAAACTATATGTGTAGAGAAGAATGGAATTTTGTGTGAATATTTCAAATTAAGATCATAAAATTATAAGATCATAATCATAAAAGATTTTGAAATTATTGTAATTATTAGTCAGGAGAGGCTAGGTGATGATATAATATCAAACATCCCCTAGGTCTTAGTGGTTTAAAACAACAAAAATTTACTTCTTGCTCATGTTTATTGTGGGTTGGTGTGGAGAGGGAGGCCCTCTGCTTGTTTGCGTCATTAAGGAGCTCATTCTGATCAGACAGCCACTATCTCAAACTAGTGGCCATGCCAAAGGAAGGAGAGCTGCAGAGGATCTCAGATCAGCAGTGTAATGTTCCTGTCACTCTGCTCACCATGTAGTCATCAGAACTAGTCACATGACCCCATCTAACTGTCTAAGAGCCAAGAAGTGCAGTTCTACCATGTGCCTGGAAGACAGAACTAGAAATATTTGGAGAATAGCATAAATGACTCCCACATTATATTATTCAGTCAGAGGTCTTTTTGGAGGAAGTTTATATTTAATAGTAGGCTTAGAAACATGGAAAATATTCACCTAATTCCTCTCCCTTTGCATATACTATTCTTTTCCTCATCCGCCTAGATGGGTTCCTTTGCCTAACTATGGAAGACTTGGCCACAGCAATTGAGGGATAAGTAGTTCTGTTTTCTTTCAGTATAAAAATGGAGAAATTGCCCATTGTTTCTACCTCTTTAGCTTCTCTTATCAATATTTCAGAGGCTCTTCTGATGGGTAAATTATGCCCTAGGCACCTATCCAAGGACTGCCCCCAGGTTCACTTTGTCAGCGTCAGGATCATAGAAAGTCAGTACAAGATTTTATAAATTTCTTCTAAGAAATTAGAGAGTGTAGAATATTACATAGTAGCTGCATTATTTTTCATAGTGAAAGTCCAGACACAACCTAAATGTCCAACAATAGGGGATTGGCTATGTAAGTTAGGCTGTATCTAGAAAATGGGGTGCAAGTAGCCATTAAAAATTATATTTTAGAAGACTGTTTAATGATTTAGTGAATGTTCACAATATACTGATTGCTCACTTGAAAAAAAGCAGACAATGTAACAATATATAGCAGACTGCTTTTTTTAAAATGCATTAAAACTGGAAAGAAAAATTTAATACTAATGTGAATGTGAACAGGGCTTATCTCTGTGATATTATGAATGATTTTTGGGGGTTTTTTTTCCCCCTTTTGTTTTTTCAGTAAGCACTAATGACTTTTGTTGTACAGAGATCAACATAAGGAGATATGTAAATGTCCAGTACCATGTTGTTATTGTTGCTTTTGTTCCCTCCAGGCTGTTCTGATTCCAGTAGCATGTATGGTGTTAATTTCCAGTGCTGTTTCTTTTAGGAGAATAGCTTGCACACAGATGACTCCTGTACAGAGTGGGATGAGCCTGATGCCAAGACAGAGGTTCAGAAACAGCACTCCTGTGGATCTAGAGACAGTTTGACGTCAGTTCACACATGTCTAGATACACGCATTTTACCATTTCTTGCCCTTTCTTCTGCCGAGGCACTGTATGGATCTTCCATGGCATTTTGACTTGACATTTCACAGCTGCTGCAAATCCACTAAGCAGGGACATGACATTGGCACTTTGAGGCCGCCGGTAACACATGGGTTTGTAAAGAGATGGTAAATTTGCTGAGATAGTGAAAAACTGGCATGTATTTATTTTGGGATGATACGGACTCTTGTGAAACAGGGGCCCATTCTGGAAGAACTTGTAACACTCATTCATCTTGTGCTGTGCACTGAGCTATAATGCTACAGCTGTCATCCACTTTCAATGAACGATTGTCATATTGTCAATCCACAATAATACAGAACAATTTTCATTCCCCGTGTTGAAGCATCGCCATTGTAATATAATTCAGTTCCGATTAACAATGCTTTGATGACAATTCCTTTCCACTCCACCCTTTTAGCCCTCCCCTTCTCCTTTTCTTAACCAGAGGGAGATGTATTTTGACAATATCTCCAGTTTTAGCAGTTTTCTGCTTTTAAAACATTTTGGGCCCATAACCCTCATTGAAACGGCAGAGAACACACCAAAATCTTTTTTTTTTCCTTCCTTTCTTATAGAAACATCTTAGAATTAGGTAGTGTATTACCTGGAAGAACTAAACCTATGGATACCTACTTGTTTATTCTGAAAACATCCCCATGAAAAAGGAGCATGAATTATTATTCCCTTTTTTACAAGAAGCACAATTAGAACTCAGCTCTCTTCACTTTAGGTCCTATAATCTGTTCACTGAAAGACATTGTTTATTTTTTTTCCAGTATTAACAGTGATGTCAGTAGCTGTTTACATGGGAGGAATTAACTACCCCAATGAATTTATGAAGCCCTGGTGGCACAGTTGTTAAGAGTTACGGCTGCTAACCAAAAGTTCGGCAGTTTGAATCCATCAGCTGCTCCTTGAAATCCTATGGAGCAGTTCTACTCTGTCCTGTAGGGTCACTATGAGCCGAAATCAACTGACAGCAAGGTTTTTTTTTTTTTTTTTTTGGTTTAATGAATTTATATTCACTGATTTTCCCTAGAGGGGAAATTGGTTCTATGTATGAGTCTTCACTAATTTTTCAACGGACTTTCTTGTCACAATAGACTATTTTAAACTGATTGAGAGTGTTGTCTTTGTTAGAATTTTCCCAAGAGCTAAACCTAGGTAAGCACAGTTGATATGATTAAAATATATCGTGCATGCTTGTATAAGCTCTTCCACATACAATGCTCACAGTTTTAAAATAAAAATTTTATTGTGGCTGTAGGACGTTTTCACTTTTCTCACTTTTTCATTTCTAATTTCACTAGTCCAGATACTGTACCTCTGAAAATATATGGCAGAATATGGGGGAGATGGAGAAAGTTCAGGAAGGGGAGGAAGTTGGGTGTCAGGAACAACAAGAAATTTGTGTAAAGTCACTAATCCTGCAGACCACTGCTTGGAGAAAGCTTCATTATAGGATTGCTTTTCTGGGCTGTCTCTTCCTCAGCATTCTTGTAAAATAAAAATCAGAGCATTTGAAACAACACATTTCTCAAATTAAAAAAAAAAAAACAGATAAACAACAAAACAACAACCCAAACCTGTTGCCGTCAAGTTGATTCCGACTCATGGCGAGCTCATGTGTTAGAGTAGAACTGTTCCACAGGGTTTCTTGGCTGTGATCTTTATGGAAGCAGATTGCCAGGCCTTTCTTTCATGGTGCTGCTGGATGGGTTCAGACTGCCAACATTTAGGTTAATAGTTAAGCGCAAACCGTTAGCGACTCCCAGGGAGCCCTTCTCAAGTATATGAAAATAAAATTGAGACTGGGTGAGGGAAATAATTCTGTCTGGGGTCTAACAGTCGAACAGAGCCTTAGGTAAATGAGTATAGATTTAACAGACAGAAGTGTCTCCTGTTCTTCATCCATATAGGAGGACTTGAGAAACAGAGAGAAGAAGGATGAGAAGAGGAAGGGCAGGGAGAAATAACATTCACAAAATACACATTTCATGTTCATTTTGTCATATGCTTAGTGCTATTGTGTATATTGGAACAGTCCAGAATTTGAAGAGTTTGTCTCTGTTCCCGTCGGTATACCTGTTTTTACTAGACTTGAGTCCCTGTTTCTGGCT